TGGAGAAGAGAACACTGAGAGGGGATCCCATTAATGCATGGAAATATCTCAAAGGTCGGTGCCCAGGGGATGGTGCAAGGCTCTTTTCTGCCGTGCCCAGCAGTGGGACGAGGAGCAATGGCCATAAACTAAAACACAAGTTCCACCTCAAGATGAGGAAGAGCTTTTTTACGTGGAGGGTGGCAGAGCTCTGGAGTAGCTGCCCAGGGAGGTGGACATTTAAAACACATCTGGACACGTTCCTGTGCCACCTGCTCCAGGTAACTGTGCCTTGGAAGGGGGATTGGACTGGAAGATTTCCCAAGGTGCCTTCCCATCTGAGCAGTTTTGTGATTTTCAGGGCATCAGGTGCTTCCAGCCCTCTGTTTTCAGAGCAGTGAATACAGTGAGGCCCTGGGAAGCAATGGGAAATGAACTGGTCTTGAAGGGCAAAAGTTCTCTATCCCGTTAGCTGTCCCCACCTCATCTCGGGGATGAGACTCTTCCTCATTAGTGAGGGATCCTTGCTGAGGAAGGCCTGGCTGGAGAGAAGAACCAACACCCACCTGGGACCCTGCAGGTGGCTTCACCTGCTCAGAGGCACAAACACAGTCACCTTACCAACCCTGGCTCATTGGTGACACAGCACAGTCAGCTGCAAAGGGTGAAGCATTCAGTGAGTTGGCAGAAAGCTGCAGTAACTCCGTGCTGGCAGCTGAAGCCCTCTCCCCTGTGCAGCTGTGACAGATGGAGAGGGAATGGCTGTCACCATTGCTCAGCTGCTTCTGATTCCCAGACCTGTGTGCTGTCATATTTCTGTCTGTTTACATAACCAAACCCAGCAGCCAGCGGCTGTAACAGCATTGTTGTCCTTTAGAGGGGTGTTTTAAACAAAAATCAAGGCAAAGGCGGCGCTGGGCAGAGGATGTGAGCACTCCAAACCACACCAGGTGGCAGTGCAGCCTCACAGATGCACCGCAGGCTCTAACTCGAATTTTCATGCACTATTTGAGACACTGACCTATATCGTTCCCTCACTCCCCACTAATAGCATCCGTATCTGGCCAGAAAAAACAGCCTGAATTTTTTTCTGCCCTGCTGCTCCCATTGCTTTGCAGGTTTCCCCAAGGGATTACACGTACTAAATGATCTCCTCCTGCTAGAAATAAAAACTCATGCATCATCAACAGCCTGTTCTCATGCAAGTATTACTGGCAGCATTAAAAAAAGCTGTGACTATACTTTTTTTGGGTAAACATTTGGGAAGGAAAGCTTCCAAGAAGAGGTAACTGAATGTGAGATGGACCAGGTCCCAAGAAAATAGATTATTTAATCTGAAGTACAGAAAAAGAGTTTTAATTTAGCGGTAGTACTGTAGGGATATGGAGTTGTTAGTTTTCTTCCTGTTGCAGTTTGTCAGTATTCAGCATCCAGCACTCCATGAATTGCATTCAGTGGGAATGTGGAAATAATTTGTCTGACGTCCTATCCCAGCCATCTGTACAGCATAAAATCTGCATCATGTCCTGGATGGATACAGCAGCATTTCTGCATTTCAGTGATAAGGGTGGGGTGTGTGCAGTGTACCCCATCCCCCCAGGTGAGGCTTACCCTGACCAGCAGAACCAAACCAGCCCAGAAAGGCTCCTGGGCTGCCTGCCCACCCCTGAGCTCAGCCTTGGCCCTCTGCATTCCCCCCACATGCTCAGGCTTGCTCTGCCCACCCCAGGCAGCCATGAGTGTGGATTACACAGCCACAGTGTCTCCATCTTTGGCTCTGGGCCCTCTGCAGGGAGTGGGACCAGTCTGGAGTGACCCAGCACGAGGCAGATACTGACACACTCAAGCGGGGACAAGGATGCAGGGATGGGATCCTTCCCTGGTAGGACTTCATGCACTTGGAAAGGGCCATGGCCTGGGATACTCAGACCTTGATGGGGAGACAAACAGGGAGTGGACACGAAAGCTGAGTCTCCCAAGGACCCTGCTCATCGCCAGAGTTGTGCAGCCACAGATCTTTCCTTCCCCAGTGGATACCCCTTGGATCCAACATCACTGGCTACAACTGGCAGCTTTCCAGCCTCCATCCACTCTTTACACACAGGGCAGCCTGCCTATGGCTACCCCAAAGCCAAAGCACCCACAGCTTTCCCCCATGTGGGCATCACTAGTGGGGTTGGTGGCCAAGGTGTGTCCCCCTTGTCCTCTGTGACTGCCAGGTCTCTGCAGGCAGGCCCCGGCTGGGCTCAGACCCATTTCTCTGCAGCATGTTGTAAAGAGCACAGCAGGTTCTTAACATCTTTATTAGTTAGTTGGTTTATTTCCAACACAGTA